TGTGGTCAGCAGCTGCTCAGCGGTAGACAGGAATGCAAGTGTGAATACAAAGCTCCACAAACCAACCAAACCAAACCGAATTTATTTGGAAAACAACAGCTTCCATTGGTTTCAAACCTATGCAGGTAAACATCATTGTTGCCCTGAACAGAGGCAGTTCTAGAGGGCAGAGAAGCTCACTAGCAGCACTTCACTGAGCCTCCAAAGGGGAACCCAAGTGGCCTCTCTACAGTCTGAAGAGGAGTAGGAGAAGAGAACAAACAAGGCAACTGCACGCTCGCTTCACAACTGTCAGTGTTAACTGTCACTCAGAAAGCAGAAGGACAATATACCAATAACTCTACCTGGCTTTCTGTTACACCTCTGAAGGACTCTTTGGGGGAAACAAATGGCCTTGAAGTACAGGATTATTTTCCTTACTCCTTCTTTGTGCACAGCCAGCACCTTGCCCTGTCACAGGGCGTTAGTGAGTGGAGCTCAGGTGGCCCAACGGGCAATGAGAGGAAACTGCATCGCTACTACGTTAAATTACTATGTATTTTTGTTTTCAAATACTTTGTAATAGCCAAAAACATAACTGCAAATTGCAGTTCTAGTCAAGCTTGCCATTTTGAGTGCAGAGTATTGCTCTCTAACAACATGCAGTCATAAAAGACACGTAAATCTCTCTGTTTGTACCGTGGTTTGAAGTTACAGAATTTCCAGTGCAAAACAAATCAGAGAGCAAAGGTAATATTATTAACAGCTAGCACTGTCACAAGAAAACTGCAGGCACAGTGGTGCAGATTCTCCAATCCAGCCAGGCCACAACCATCACTAAACCCAGGAGGTGGCAAAGGTGGTTTATATTAAATTTAGCAGCAGCTAGAGACCAGTTTTGCTCTTGCCTTGTTTTGGAGACAATCCCTGCCACACACACAAAAAGGGCACACGAAACCTGGAAGATTCTATTTATCTCTATATTGAACTTCTGCTGGCAGCAGAGGCTTTTGGATTTGCAGTCAGCATTTGACTGTACCTAAATACTTACACTGCAGTGGATGCTGCAAAGAGAAAGTTCTCCAAATCAGTCCCTGCTTTCCCTTGCAGTAGGGATAATGAGGAAGCAAGCAAACTCTTCAGGGAGGTCATTATAGTAGGAAAACAGCAAGGTGTCCTGAAAATTCACCTGTGCTACACTGGCATCTTGGGCTGGCACAGAAACATAGGTCTGTCTGCCTGCAAAAAGATCAAGACTAATGCAAGAAGTCACTGCTTTCGGGAAGCAGGCGTGGGGAAAGTGGAGACTGCTCTGCACTGCTCCAGCAATTCCAAGCTCACCCAACTGCTCAGGCACAAAAGACGTCCGTGACACTCTCATCCCATTTCCTCTCTTACTACAGACAACATCAGTCTGACATCTCCCCAAATCACATGATTCTGCTTGATCACCGATTTATTCACCAGACAGTTGTGTTTATACATCCATCGTAGTAGGATTCAGTCTTGATCCGGAAACAGTCAAGGCTGGCAGCGTGTCAGCGTGGGGACACTGAGCAGAACTTGAACACGCAGCCCCCACTCTACACAAGGGTGCCCAGAGCAGGGAACTGCTCAAACCTCACTGCCTTCCACTTGTTTCCAGGCATATGCTCTCCAATTTCTCAGCCTCAATCAATCCCTGCCACACACGCTTCTAAGTACTCACACCTTATTCATCTGTTATTCTCTGTGCAGAATCCAGAAGTATCTCAAGTCATTCTGTTGTGCAGCAGCCTTTCCAAGAGCAAAGCTGCAAACAGCTCCTTACTGTAGATCCTAGCAAAGACAACTGTTTGGCACACCACCAGGAACTTAGTCTTCCATAAGCTGCCAGCAGGCTTCTGTCCTGGCTGAACAGACCCATTATGAAGGAAGACCCTTTCTCTCTTGGAACAACCAGTCACAGAAGGTCAGCACTGACAGCACTGACAGATGCCGCTCATTCTACCTGTATGGAAAATTCTCATCACCAGGGTTTAGTGTCCACAAAGGAGACAGAGTTCTGCCAGAGTAACTTTATTCATGAATAAAGGGAGAGCTTACTGAGCATACCTAGTGAAAATCTCTTGAATAACTGGAGGAGGTAGCCTCCTTTTTATCCTAATTTTTCCTAGCTCTATAATGACCTCTTCCTTTTCTCACTGGCTAAAGTACTTGGAAGGCACAGACTTCCTGAAAACACCTATTACATATAAAGAGTCAGTTCTTTTCTTGCTATTCTTAAGCAGCTGTTTCCTTTCTCACTATTCTACAAGTTAATTGATTCTTCCAGCCACTTTCTTACCTACAAGCAGCTACTTCTTTATCTAAAAATAGCCACTTTCTTGTCTACGAACAATTATTTCCTTTCCCACCAACAACCATTTCTTTACTCACAAATAGGCACTGCCTTGCATCTGCAAGCAGATGCACACAGCTTGTTTGTAAAGGCACATTCATCTTGTTCTTGTCATACCCTTTCTCCTATGGGTCCGTCAGGTAGAAGCCTAGGAAAACTCTGTTTTCTTTAAGGGCTTTTAAACTCAGCACGAAAACATTTCAACCAAGGTTCTTCAAAAGCCTCATTCACAGCTTTTCTTGCCAGCCCTGCTCAAAACCAGCACAACTATGTGTTCAGAAACAAGGAAGAATGGCTCCTAAAACTACCAGGTTTGCTGCTGTTGCTGCATGAATTTAGGCAGAGGCAGACCATAGTTTATCTAGATCAGATTCCATAAAAACAGTCAGATATTTAATCCTTGGGCCACATTTAGCTGGAACCAGCAGAGTGGCACAGCACTCATGCATCTGAGAATCCAATTTCAAAACAGAAAAGAAATGCAGACCAGTCACCACAAAGAAAGTTATTGCCTTTGCATAATGTTCAAGCAGCATATCATATTTACAGAGCCATGTAAGTGCAATTAAATACATAGTAGGCACAGGTTATGCTTAAACTAAATAAGACAGGGTGAGAGTGAACAAAATGGTGTAGGGTGCAGTCACTGGACAAGACTGGGGAAGGAAAAAGGTACTGTCAAAATATCACATCATCCCTTGGCTCAGGTCTCTTTAAGCTCTGGGATGTGACTGCTTTGGTAGCAGCTGCAAAACTTTTACTTCCTCTGGGGGAAAAAATGCAACAAACCCTCCCCTCAAACCTCACCCCACCCAAAAAAACATTTTCCACCTTCTTGCTGGAAAAGAAAGTGTAGATCTCTTGTTCCACTGAGTTATCAAACGTGCTTCCTTTCTGTTGCCCAGAGAGAGCTGAGCACTGCCTACACCATATGCTTCTCCTTCCAGAGTAAGGGCACTCACACAAACCAGGTTTGGGAGCCCCTCCACCAGGGCCACACAGTCTTTTACTCCAGCAACTGAGACTTCTGCACAGCCACATATCTCTAGGTGAAAGGCCTTCTGCCTGCCCGTCTGATCTGATCCATGTCTCTGTTCCTATACAATGCAAGGAATACCCCTTGAGCTGTGACAGGCACCGGATGGACAGATGCTCTGTACATCTAGCAAATATTGAAGCAGGAGTCCTGGGTCTCCCTCACGTTCAATAACAAGTAGTTATTCAAGATTTTATTCACAAATGGTACTCACCTCAATGCTCCAGCATCACAATCTGCTATCAAATGATAAAATACATCACCTACTACACACTGCTAATAAGATACTCAGTAGTACTATAGCATTACTCTCAGTGTGTTTTATACAGCAGTATGTTTTATATAGCAGTATTCTCAGTAGCACTACAGCAGTACTCTCAGTATTATGTTGCATATAGCAGTGCTGTCAGAGAAGTATGTAGCCCAAAGAATATGTGGATGTCCCATCCCTGGAAGTGTTCAAGGCCAGGCTGGACGGGGCTCGGAGCAACCTCGTCGAGCTCGAGCAAGCTCGGAGCAGAAGGTGTCCCTGCCCATGGCAGGGGCTGGAACGAGATGAGCTCTAAGGTCCCTCCCAAATAACTCCATGATTTCTCCCTTCCACCCGCAGCTCAGAGCCGTTGACTCCCCGACCCGAGCTCGGCAGGGGTTGAGTGAGTATCCACCAGGCATCCAGACAAAAAACTGCTCCAAGCATCCCTCCAACTCCACGCCGTTTCCCCATTAGTTTTCCGCATGGCCTCAAGAGCTCATTCCCCCTCACAACTCCCATTACCTTCGGTCCACAGGCTCCCATGGCCCACAGGCAGCTCCCATCGCCCTCAGGCAGCTCCCATCGCCCTCAGGCACCCCCGGCTGCAGGAATCTAAACCCGACCCCGCCCATCCGCCTGCCCGGACCTCATGAGGGCGGGGGGGGGGGACAGGCACGGCCCCGCCCTATTTACAGCCCGGGGTGGCCATTTCCCCTCAGGGCTGGGGCTGTGTCACAGGGCTGGGCGCTGAGGGCCCTCACAGCGGGGCTCACCGCGGGGCTGGGGTGTGTGGCACACTCCCCTCGGAGCTGAGCGCACGCCGTGCACTGGGAGTGGGACCTCCTCCCTCGTGTGCCCTCCATGCCTGGAGAGCTCCACTGCTCAGTGCAGGGTGATGCCACACCTCACCCCCGGCCAGGACCCCAGCGTGAGGGATATGTACTCACTGAATCAGTTTGGTTGGAAAGGACCTGTGAGATCATCGAGTCCAAGGTAACCATGTCATCCAGACCATGTCACCAGTGCCACATCCAGTCTTTCCTTAAACACCTCCGGGGACAGTTACTCCACCACCTCCCTGGGCAGCCCATTCCAATGTACAGTTACCCTTTCCATGAAGGAACACGTGCACAGCAGGGAGATACTGCCCCGCGGAACAGGACGCCAGCCATAAAAACTGATTCTTCTGGCTAAAAGTAACAGGGATTAGCTGAGAAATATGACTGGATCTGCTGTGCCTGCTCCTGGCCAGACTGACTGCAGTACCAGCAGGTGCATGGTACCTCTCTCCTCAGGGCACAGCTGGATGCTGGAGGAGCTATATCACAAACAGAGGAAACCCACATATGCAATTAGATGACAAGCGATTTTATTTTGCAAAACGATCACTATACAGCAACAAATACAATTGCAAATTGGATTGAAAAACATGAACTACCTACCACCAGCCATTCAAGAAATGCCTCTTTTATGGTAACAGGCTCTAGAGTTATCAGAAAAAACACAGGTTTGTAACAGCAGACCATATTCCTTGACATCCCAGCATACAGCATGTTTATCTGTTGGCTTTTTCTCTTTGCTAAAGTTGAAGTGGCTTTTATACGCTCGACTTTTCCAAGTGTGAAACTAATTTACCTTCCTGCAGTGGGAATTGCTGGAGTTGCAGAGGGAGTTGCTTTAGCAATCTGACTAGTGAGTTAGTAGACAGACACCTAGGCTAAAAACCTACCAGCATCAATTTTCATAGCAAATGTGATCTACTCTTCAAGGCATTTGCCTTTGAAGGGTCATGTGTACTTGGGTTTCAAACAGTATTTGATCCAGCATGGAAAAAAGTGCTCACATGTGGTAGTCCACACAGGATGCCTTTAGACTCCCTTTGGGTCATGTATTTAGGCAAACTTAGATGTGTGAGCAGCCACGATGAGGTTACCACTGTACTTTAGCAGAGCATTGAATCGATAATTCCATTTACTGCTGTACAGTGAAAATATACATTGCCCTTGTGGGCTCACAATTTCCCTCATCAGGATTAGTTTTTCCTTTACTGTTGCTGGACAGATGTTTGCTCAACTTTTAATTCTTTCAGCTTGTGGTTACATAGAACTCTGCAAATGAGGAAGAAGCACTCTGCCTTTTGTTGCTACAACTTGACCCATTATTAAATTTGGGACGCTCCCCTAGCTACCAAAACAAGGTTTCACCATTCCTTCTGTCTGGATTATTTCTGCTTTGTTACAGAGTTGGGTCTCAGGCGCCCAACAAACCTGCTGGCTCAACATGCCTGTGGAAAAGAAACACAACAGATGCAGTTTCCAGGAAGCTGGCTCTATCTTCTTTAGTGGGCATTACGTTATTTACAAACTGTTGTTTTTAAAACGAACACTCTTCTTGAGAAAGTTAAGATTAATATGAGCTTTTCCAGTGAACATCTAGAGTTATGTAACATAACTTGGTTTTTTATCATTTAACAGCACAAAACTCTTGATTTCTTTTCATCTAACTCCACAGCATTCTAGGATTCTTTCTATGGAAGAATGATGATGATTACAAACGTCTTTGCTTAAATCAAGACAAGAAAGCTCATTTTAATGCATGAAATAAATGACTCGGTGTGTTACACCACTCTAACTTTGGATTCATAGGTGGTTTAACTAAGCTTAATTTTCTAGAGTATGTTGATTTTAAAAGCAGAATAAAAAAACTGGAGTCTCGGGCTATCACTGTTCTCCTGAGCTGCTGCTCAGCTTCAGAGAGCAGAGGATTCAGTAGTACCATAGTTTCTCTCCCACGCTGGCAAAAGGCATAGAAAAAAACCACTGCAAGGCCAATTCATACTGATAGTATGATCAGAGCAATATAAATACTGTTGGTTTTCCTTTCTGTTATTTTCTGAAAAAATGGGAAGAGGCTTTTAATGCACCTTAACTTGACACTGTTTCCATGTGAATTATTATGATTAGTTTAAGCAAAAGTATAACAAATACAAGGCAGAAATCAGAATCCTCCAGTTGCACTTTGCATGGTTCTAAACTCACTGTCCTTCATATGAAACAACCGACTTACAAACAGTATTAGGTACTTACAAACAGTATTGGTGTGAAAAAGCTTTTTGCAGAGCTGAAATGCCATGTGGGGGGGCTGTCAGAAGTTCATATTCAGCAGAAGTTTGAGAGATGCAACCACTCTGTTTTGTATTTGTACTGCTGTGGCAGCTTAGCCAAAATCCCTTTTTGGTCCACTGAATATTTACTGTCCAGTAACTGTGTATTACTACCAGAATTTAATGATGGGGAATCCTGTATTATTAATTATTAGAATCCTTTTCCACAGACATAAAAATCTTCCCTATGAGTCTTTTCAGACCAAACCCCAACACACACACACACACACACACATACAAATTAAGAAGGAAAAAGAATAGATCAAAAGCTTCCAACACACAACATTAACCTAATACATGTATCAAGTATAGCTCAACTGACAGTGCAAAGTTCAGTTAAGAGGTTTCAAAAGGAAAAGTTCAAACAATCTGCGATAATGTGAACTGGTCATTTCATAATATCTAGTGTACACAGAGCATCAGCAGGTGATTATCTGCTGATGAGGATCACCTCCGTGTCACCTTCAGTGTTCCCTTAGTGCTGGAGTTCTCTCAGGTAACTCCTCTAGATCGGTTGGTTACGTTATCTCTGCCTTTTATCTTTTAGGCACACTTTTTCTTACACTTTTTTATAGCCAACACAATCTCACTTTGCTCAGATTTTAAGAAGCCCTGTTTATTGATGAATCGCTATGGCAACCCAGTCTAGGGAGCTCATTTTTATTTATTCATACACTGTAATTTACAGGCACCTCTGCTATGTTTATCACTGTTGTCTGAGTGCCTGAGTAGTCATGTGAAACATCACTAAAGGAGCGGAAACAACATCTTTTTTTCTGTGTTTCAACTTTAGCAAAAGAAAAAAAACATAAATCTAACATTCACTGTTACTATGGGAGTTAAAAAAAAAAAGGAAAGAAAGAAATAAAAAAAAAATCTTGAACCAAACTATTGTGGATTTTAAAAAAAGCCAGAGTCCAAACTCAGCCATCTTTGGAGACCCTTTTACAAATGTCTGGACCCCACAAAAATCATTCCTTTGTGAAGAAAGGAAGGGAAGGGGAGAGGGAAGGAATCCTTTTTCTAGCATCACAGAAGAGACTTGCATCTGGCACTAAAACAGGGTCACGGCTTTTAGTTGTTACAGAAAGCAACTTCATGCTAAAATTTTCATCTTTTTTAAATGTATTCTTATGAATAGGGAAAAAAAAAACCCTGCTAACATCTACTTTTACATACCTAAAATTGCAACACCAAAGGGTGCAAGAGACACAGATACTGTGAATAAAGAAGTAGAATATTCAAGTATATGAGGAGGGCATATCACAAATGGCCACAGAGAAATATATATATCTATAATACTGTATCAAACAGACGGAAAGAATGTGAAACCAGTGGTGTGCACACAAATCTAGCCGCTTAACCAACTTTTCTAATCAGACACAAGTCTGTTGGGGTGGAAGTGCTTGCTTTCAGCAGCTTTTTTACGTCACTTCCCCAAAGCACAATTTAAATGTTTTCAGCTACTATTTTTAGTTATTAGTTAAATAATTTATTGGCTTTTCAGCTATACACTGACATAATTAACCAGGTCCAAGAAAATGTTAATAACTTAATTCAACTTTTGTTCTACTCATTTATACAAAATAACACATTTTTTTAATTAAACTTGAATTTCTCTATATGCCCTTCCTTCTGGTAAGCAGACTGTTAATTTAACCCTTAATAACTTAAAATGGGCAACTTTTTTATTTCCCCATCTATCAACAGAACTATGAAATGAGCAACTTGGGATATCAACAAGGCTCTTCAGATAGAGGTGGATGGCCTTCAGGCACATGAAAGGTAAAAATGCATTTTATCATAGTACAGTACTCCATGCAAGACAGAGCAGAGCAACAATAATTGTCCAATGTAACATACTGCTTTTGTATACCCATATAAAGCCAGTGTCTTCCTGTTGTAAATGGAGGTCAGGCCAATTTCTGCATCTATGGAAATATTTTTTTTCTGTTTTTTTTTTTTTTTTTAACTGTATGGTAACTACAAGTCTTGGGATGTGACTTAGCTTTAGACATGGTAAAGAATGAATGTAACGCCTGCTCTGAGCCCATTCCTGCCAAGAGCTCATGCCTAAATATTATTACTTCATACAATGTGAAATGAGCAAATTCATAAGCCCTGCTTGGCAAGGGCTGCCGTGACATCTTCAGCGAGGGTAGCAAGCTGGGGTGACTCAAGCAGGTTGATGCTTCCAGAGGATGAGACGTTGCTGAGTCTACGTGGAGAAGCCACGCTGGACCTGCCTGGTGACTGTGTGATAATCTCAGCCCCGTGGTCGACACGGGCTTTAGCGTGCTCTCTGAAGTTTAGCTTCTGGCTGTCAATCTGCTCCAGGAAAGTAAAGAATGTCACACATTATATATTCACCAAATTATCTTGTTATAGATTATCACTTGGGCATCATTTTGTTTACTTTTAAAAACTCTTAGAAGGATTGAAGCTTTGAGTTATTCGAAGGATTATTCCTTTGAATAATTCCAACTGATCGTTTTTTCACCTTGTTTAATAGATACTGACTTACTGTTACACTCTCTTACCATTTCTGTCTCTGATGGACACTTTAATGAGCAGTACCACTGTCCCTAGCTGTGAATTTCATTAACATTATATGTTTATGAAAAACATTTCTTTTGAAAACAAAACTATGATTTGTTTCCAAAATTTGTATTTTCCAATGTTTGTGGGAGTGATCTTACTTTCAAGATATTTTCCTCCTGTTTCACAAAGCAGTCCCAATCTCAGATCATACCTATGCTGTCCAACGGTCCCAAGCAAGGACTATCTTTAGGGGGAAAGCCAGCGCACAAACCACAGGACTTTAGACTCACTGTCAGCTTAGATGTGGATGCGAGATTGTTCATTCCAAATTTCAAAGGGAACAAACTGGCATGTGAGTGTGCTTGAAGGAGGACAGACAGATGCTTCCTACTTGATTCAGAGCCATGGCTGAATTCACAGCTCTGATTTCACCAGGCCAGGGGCACAGTGGAGGCGTTTTCTCTGATGGCTGTTCCCTTACCTTGACGTTACCACCACCAGGTACGTGGTGGGCATTTTCCAGTGAACCAACTTTAGCCTGAGCTTTTTCTTTGAAATCCAGTTTCACACTCTCAATTTTCACACGCCCACCTCCTACAATGGAAAAGGAAATACAGATTAAGAGGCTGCAATGGTGTGGGAGAAAGTGTGACTTGAAGCACGTGGGTGCACTCACGTTACTTCCCTTTTAGTTGAGATCTAATGGTTTTGGAAAAGCACAGAATAACGCTCTCCATGTTCAGTCAAATATAAAACCTTCAACATACATTCAAATTGTAAGCATGTACTGCAGCCCCACTGATTTCCATGGGATTTAAGTACATGCTTAAGTATTTTGCTGACTTCAGTCTGTATTCAATATTATGCCAAAGCAGCATCCTTTGGCATTACTTTTTAACACCTCTCTGGTTCTATAACTATATGTCTTTATATATTTAGTTAAGTAGTTACGTGTATTTTTATTACCAAAGTGTATTTACTTTTTCTTGGACTGTAAAAGAAAGTGGTATCATCCATGACTTCTCCTTTGCATAACAGGATTAGGTCTTTCCCTTTGTCCCGTAACCAAGAAATTCCTACAATACCTGGCTTGTGATGAATATTCTTGAGTGAGCCACACTTGGAAGTCACATGACTCAAGTCAATCTTCTTGGTTACAATTTGTACCTGTCAAAAGTGCACAAATTACAGAAATGAATAAAATAATAAAAAGCCAAGCCCTGCAGAGAAGGAGCCCAAGCCTCTACAAACCACTGGAAAAGGAGAAATGATTAGTAGAAAACAGATCACGCCACCAAGGAGGAAACACCTGGATTAATACAGCAAGCTTCCCTCACACGTAGGGAGATGACAGCTGGGTTAAGCTCTACTATTAGCAAAATGAAGAGAAGGATAAAGCAGATCAGCTTGTGAGTTCTTTATAAAATGTTTCTGAGCCAACTCCTCTCAGGGTGGGTGCTCCAAAGCCCTGCACGCAGCAGGGCCCATCCCATTTGCTTCTGCTCTTGAACGTGCATCCTGGCAACCAGGATATTTTGGTGACTGTTTTTATCTCCACCATCTGTTTCATATTTTTCTGCAGCTAAATACGTTATGCATTTCCTGTCAATGCACTCTGGGGAGCCTGATGAAGGTACACATGTGCCTCCTGCAGCTGTACCTGAGCAGGCTGGTGTTCAGCACTGGCTCGGTGCTCATCCGAGAGCAGTGGCACTGCTCTGCTCGGCGAGGCAGTGGCACCTGCACCCTCCCTCCTCCCGGTGCTCCATGCACTGCTGCCGGCTGCCTCGCCACGGCACTGAGCCCAGCTTGGGAACAGCCACAGAGCGACACTCCTGCCTCGCTGCACTCCCAGACAGCTCCCAGAGGTGGCCCACAGCCACAGCGACTGTGCTGGCAGGCCTCAAGAAGTCGCAGCCCCTCCAGGCCAGAGCAGGAGCTGCAGGATGGCTGCAATACCGCCGGTTTGCTCACAACACTGGCAATGACTTAAGCCAGCACTGGTGGCTGTACTGAACGTGTTTGGATCAGATGTGCCCACACCATCAGCTCTTCCATCTGAGGGGAGATCATTTCCAGCAGGATGGTTGTAGCCACCTTAAGCTATTCCAGTGTGCCTGCTAGAATCAAGGGGTGTCTGGTCAAACCCCAAGCAACCTCAGTTTGTTACGCTGGAATAATGCTGCGGCGTAAGCACTGAGTACGCTAGCTGGTCACACCCCCTCTCTTTGTCCTTATTTTTCTTCTTCCCCTCTGCTGAATGCACATAACTGAAGAGTTAGCTGAGGAAACCCAACACAGAGGCTGGAGTCTCACTGAGAGCTGCACTCTCTTTCTGGAAATTACTTTCTTGGGCTGCTCCCATGAAAGGCACTGAACCTTTGGCTCACACTGCACTTTCACTGTCAGCACCCTTAGGCATTTGAGGATAACCCTTATTTTCTGACTTCCCCTCCCTGTCCATATTCTGGAAATGTGTTGTGCTCTGCGGAGAAAGATCAGGAGGCCACCACTGATACCCAAGGCTCACATGACTGACCAGACTCACATGTGAAACAGCAGAGAGAAGGAAAATAGTGCTCAGAGGAAGGGAAACAGAGGGGTCTGGCTGTTGCGACCACCACTGGCTGTTGAGAGAGTGTCCATACTACTTACATTTCCTCCCCCTGCAGAATGTTTGATGTTATCTCTGGAACCACACCGGGACTGAATATCGCTAAAATCGATCTTCTTGTTTAAAATCCTAACCTAAAAGGAATTGGAAGTAACTTACTATATACCACACACACACACTCAATTGGGGCGCAGGACGAGGGAGCCAGGGTCATTTTGCTTCCTCCTGTGACTCTGTCTGACACTTGTATTGAAACATGAGAAAGTACACTTTGACAACCTCTATGCTTAGTATGTTCTCAGAGCATCTCTAAATACACTACGCTGCTCTTTTTATGCCTCACAAAGTGGTGGTGAAATACGAATGGGAGAATTTTTATTCTGGGACATGTGAGAGGTGGCTTTTCCCTGAAAAGTTTAAAGAACTTCTTGCTTGCCTGGACTGGGCACAGTCCTAGGACAGCATGTCCTAGGCTCTATTGAGTGATATTCAATGTTGCTGCTCAACTGGCCATATGGAGAAGCTAGAAACCCTTGTCCCCACACTCAGCATTTGATGCAGAAATCCAAGATCCAGCCAGCTCAGCCATGGGTTTAAATCCTGAGGTATTTCCACCCTCCTGCCATATAGCCATAACAGCAGCTACATTCATATAACAGACCTCAGAATGTTCTGTGAAAGGGGATCAACAAAATTAATTAAACTGAAGTCAGAGCTCTCTACTGCTCTCTCTTTACCATCATATACTAAAGGGCAATGCAGAAAACAACATCATCAGGAAACCTACAGCTGCAATCCCTGCTTCTTGATTTCTGGTGCTGGCCATAGAGTTGGGCACAACAACTTTGCAGTGTTAGGAGCACTGTGCTTCTCCCCTGTGCTCTTTGCCTCTTCACGTAACAGGATTAGGTCCTTGCTTTTCCCTTGATGGTGCCAGCCTCCCTTACACATGCCAGAAGCCCACATTTTTAATATGCTGCCTTAGCCACAAATGCACTGCAGGCATATGACAGTGCCTGGAGGTCAACTCTGTGAAGGGCAGGCCATGATGTCCCATGCTTGACCCCATGGCAAAGCACTTCCTCCATCTCGTGGAACTCAGGTGCCACCAATGACTGTACTCCCTGGGAATGACGAGCAGTTACTAGCTGGCAGAGACAACTGGCTGCACACCTGACTGACACCACTTTCAGATTTATTTCTGAGCAAGGGCAGGGGTTTGTGCTCACCAGTGTTACGGGTTTTAGGTGTCTGAGAAGGTGTTTCTGGACAAGGCTGACCCTACCTTTTTTGCACCAGAGTGCCACCCATGCAGCATATTATTTCTCTGGGTTAAACGTGAAATCTTTACTCAAATGTTACACTGGATTTTTTTATCTTTAAGTATTAATATTCAATATGAATTTAGACTCTTTCCTGTACAGAAAGCCATAGAATTTGGGTCACTATGTCTTCATTTTGTTAAATGGCACTTGTGGAGCCTTCACTGACATACTACTTAGCACGCTCCTGCTGGCTGCAGGTAAACCTGCAGGTAGGTAAACCTACAGTGACCAACCACTACTGAGATAACAGAGAGGGACAGGCACACTAGGGTTCCTTATTGCAGCTTCTTCTCACTGCTCCAGGAACACAAGCAGGTGCAAAACAGCCAAAGCAGTCAGTGGGAGGAAGCAGAACCCTGTGCAGTTTCTGCTTCCTGGCTTCATGTCCCTGAACTGCCCCAGGTTCCCTGATAAATCTGAGGCAAGTCACCCCCCTCTGTGCCTCACCTCTCCAAACCGGGGAAAGACTATTTTCTCCCTTACAGGGATATTGGATTTTGCAGCTTTCGGCCCCTGCAGTGGGGATAATGGCACATTTAAGATAGCAAGTTGAATCCTCTGGTGCTGAGAGCACCTGGAGTACACCTTTGACTAAAGCTCAGTATACTCCTGAGATGAAATGTTCAGATCACACTCTGCAGCTAATGTGAAGAACTTCTTCACAGCAAGCTCTTTCATGAGTCCCTCTTCGTACATACAACATAACCACTAAATCAAACCATTAGGATGTTAAGGTTTTTTTTTAACCTAAACTTTTTAGTTTAAAGCAAAAACTTGCTTTAACTCGTGATGGTCTGCTCAGCAAACCCCACAACTGGTAGGTCTCTTTCGGGAGGCAAACTGACTTATGTCTTTCTCCCTCCCATTTGCTAAATCCATCCAAGTAAACCAATGTACAGTGAAACGTGAAAGCAAATGCCTGTGGAGTTTTATGCCTGTGCTTTTTCTCAATATACTGTTTAAAAAATGTATCCCACCACTATACAAGACAGATGTCACATCAGTGACAGAAACACACATCTGATGTGCAGTCAGATCTGGCTCCCAGAGAGCTTCAGGCCAGACACAACTGGGCAAAACAAAGAGCATTCCCAGCACTTTCTGAGCACATCTCTTTCAGCGATGGATCAGCAGCACCTCTTAGCCATGGCCACAGGGATGCATTTGCTTTGAAAATGCTGACTTAGGGTCATGACAAGACCTCATCACTGTGGACTGGGGGCCTGTAGCTTAAAATGGAACCAAAGCAAGGTGAAAAGTTGAGAGGGTGTCTTTGATCAAGTGCCTAAAGGTTGATTTGCACCCAGGAGTCTGACAGTTTATGAGTCTCGTGGCCCATGGACCTGGCTAGCAGATATATGAAGGACAAATCGTGGCAATTATCCTCTCAGTGGATGAAACATACCCCTGTGCAGCGGGGCAAGCAGGAGACCTGTGTATCATTTATGTCCTATGCTGAGGGCTGAAGTGAGCTGAGTGATGTGGATGTGTTGTGCTGGTCATCTGGCACAAGGGGGAACTGCATTGATCCAGGTTTTCCCTGATGATCTGTTTCTCCCTTTCCTGGAATATATCAATATTCCTGCACGTATTTAAATAATGACTGCCCTCTAAGTGTTCTACAAATGAATGGAGCCTTGCTTCCTGTAGATTAGGCTTTTAAACTGCTTAATTCCTCAATCCTACATAATTCGGCAAGGCCTATCCCCTCTTGCCAGCAGTATCTCCCAAGCTTTCTCCCAGGTCTGCCTGACTGGGCAAACAGAAGCTAATACACAACCAGCCAACTGTTTGTCTCTGTGGAGAAGGGCTGAGTTATCACTGCCTTTACCCCAATGACAGTGTTATGCTGAGTTTCCACTTTGTACCCAGTCAACAACTATCACTCAGCGCGGAGGGACTGCCTGTGTTTCTCACCACTGCTCCCTTGCCAGCACTGGTTCAAAGTGGCCATCAAGTTCCGAAGCTGCTGAGGAGAGCTGACACTGCCAGCCAGTGTGACTGCAGAAGTTTTGTTTCTTTTGAGAAATTTGACTGTAAACAGAAGAGGGAGAGTACCAGGGAAGGACAGGAACTCTTTAGGCGAAAGAAAAACTTTGGCTTGCAAACAAAGAATGTAAACTGACTGTGAATTATTTTAAGCTGGAATCTGGAGGGAAATTTGTAACTATCAGAGCAGGGAGACTCTGGAACTGCCCTCCCAAGGGAACAGAGCTACAACAAGAAAA